CGCTTCAGGCCACAGCCTAGACTAGACCTAGCCTTCATATTCTATAAGCATAGAGTTTGAAGCTCTGCTGCAAGAAGAGCTATGAGGCGCAGCAAAGATGCATGGCCAACAGCCGCAGCTGGCCTTGACATGCCTTGACAACCTGCGGATGATTCAGACTTGGTGCGTGCATATGTTTTGGCCAGCGGTTTGCTGGCATATTGAGATTTGCAAAGCCCTGGAAGAAAAGCCTTAGAGGGAAGCAAAGATGTGGTCAACAAGCTGGCCTTGAGGGACGGGCTTGTTGTGGTGGCTTTGGTGGAACAATATGTATTGGCATGTATTGGCCAATGGCCAACCGGTTGGCACCAAACACCAGAAAAACAGTGCTATACTTTCTTCAGGTTTGCAGCAGAAAACAGCCCCTGAAAGGGCATCATGCTCAATGCCAGGCGGGCGCTGATGATCTGATGCGGCTGATACACGGTAGGCCGCTGGCCGGTGGCCGGTGACTAGTGGCCGGTTGCTAGCTGCGGGCTGTCGTTCGGTAGCAGCAGCTGGTGACTAGCTCGTGCTCCATGTCCGTTTGCTACAATGCTGGGGGATCATTGGGGAAGCTGTTGATTTATAACCCCCCAAGCCTGGAGAGGTTGACTCAGTCCATGTCTGGAGGAGCTTTATTCATCAACCGTCTATAAATGAATCGTTAAAGGTTTTTGTGTTTGGAGCAGAAGAGCCTCCAAATCCCCAACCGCCCCAGAGAATCAGAAGAGATTCGGAAAGAAATCGTGTAGACGCGTTTTACCACCAGGGTGCATTGTTCGTTCTCACCAACAAAAAGGAAAAAAACACACATGTTTCGCCGCCCAAGTGCCCCTTTCACCTTTCAAGCAGCGAGTTGAGGTGGCTATCACGCACGGCAAGCAGAAGTCGTTCTCAGAAGCATCTGACTTTCAAAGATCTTTCAAGTGTCAATGAAAAAGACCTTGTGTATCCTTGTGTCCTCGAGCTGTCACGGGGAAGCTGTAGACTGCTCTCAAGAATGTGGTCTCCAAAGAAATCCGCATGCCCCGTGCTTTTCATGCGCTTTGGCTTCAGCGTAGAGGTCTACAGGTTCCAGTCACCGCCAGAATATGCACCAGGCGGCCCATTGTTCAAGCACCTCAAAGTCTGGGGTTCGCTTTCTGGGTACACCCTGGAAGATGAACATGTAACCTGAAAACCATTTGAAAACCACTGTTTTGTAGAGGAAGGTGAGGAAGCTAGTCTTCCCAAGTGTTCCAAAGGTCCATTTTCCATGTTCATCTTCGGGACATACTGTGACGGCGGCATATTGAAGATGTCTGATTCAAGTGACAGGTGGGGCATTCAACGCAAATCCTTCTGCCAGGTGGATCGCTGAGCGACTTCTGCCACCAGCCAGGTGCCACGCATGTGGAATGCCCAGTTGTGCCACGTATACATCCAGTTTTTCTTTCAGAGATAGGAATCCTTGCGCTTGTGAAGAACAAAAACCAACCAACTTGGCCCTCTCGGCCAGCGCACGCTCCTTCATCAGTCGAGCGGTCGATGTTAGCCTTGGGAAGTGGATCATAATGAACTATATAGAACTATGCATGTCAGCACAAACATACACAGGATCAACATCTGACCATCAACATCTATGGTGAAGTCGATTATTGTGGCTCCTTTTGGAAATCACATACAAAGGCCGGTGTGTTAAAGATATGTAGCCATGTTATGCATTGTTCCAACAGACATGCTTGTTGTTGGCACCATATTGTTAAAGTACATTAATAATCATTACTGTAATACATTGTGTCTTTTTTGTGACTGTTTACGGAGCACATCTGGATTCCTCCGGAAAAATGTTCACATGATTTTACGCGTGTTCTTCTCGCACACGTGATGGAGAAAGAGCTGACAAGCTAGTGACAAGCTAGTGCCAGTACTTCGCTATAAAAGAAAACGAAAGTCAGGCTCAAGATTTGCGTAAGCTTGGTGTAGGGTTTCTATCGCCAATGTGGGAATCTCGCCAGATGCAGAGTTCGGCCTTTTTATGAGGGATATCCCAGTAAGCGCAGTGAATTTATGAAGGTCTAAGGTCTGTTACGAGTCTGAGTATAGCCAATGAACTAGCATGACATCATGTACAAGCTTCCATAACCACCTCTGGTCAGCCAACTAAATTGTGCAACTGCGTGCCAAACCTTGGTCCAGTTTGGGACTATATCTTGCATTTTGATGTCCTCATACATTCTTGGATAGCCTCTTGGGTTCAGGATAGAATCTTGGGCAAGAATTTGGAGATTGAGATCACGGACATCCAGGAAGGAGCAGTGACTGCTCAGTTCAGTTCAGAATCTTCAAGTAGCCAATTGTGTGGATCCTCTGCGACTTAACGTAGACTCTCGACTCTTGACTATAATCTCCCCGCCATGTGGATCGCAAAACCTCTGTATATCGGGTGTTTTGTTCATCAAGAGCCTACATGATATGATGCTTCTCATTCACCAAGATTGCCAACCAGGAATCATCATATGACCTTGTCGACCTGGTTTCCCCGTCGCAAGGAACTCTCAAACATGATCCCACCAGTCAGAGAAAGCAGAGCCCGACTTCTTTAGATATATCTCCATATATTTATAGAGGAACTCTTGCTCACTTGAAAGCTGAGACATAGTGCCAGCGAGTGCCTGTGTCCTCGGTATCCCAAGGTACGAGGATCTTCGGACCGCACCCCGACAGGTGCTACCAACGAAAGGTGTGGCATGTTAATAACTATCCATACATGGTTGGTCTGGGTTGTGCAACATCAATTCCTTCCTCAGCCACAACTCATCAGAGTTTTCAAGTGTGCCTCATTCAGAACCTCTGACGTGGACATTCTCGGACACTCGATGTAGCAGTGCCACTGGTCTTCGGGGAGCACTGCCTCTGAGGCCTTGCTTCTTTCCAGTAAACTCTATTTGGTTCGGGATGTGTCAGTCGAGTCTCTTGGAAATCCTTTCGCCAACATGGAATACGGTCACGCCCGGACAGGCGAAGAAAACTGGAAAAAAGGTCCTGTCGAGCGCCTCGACCGTAAGACTGAACTCTCCCGCACCAAAATAAGTGGGTGGATTACTTCCGAAACCGATGACCTCTATTTGGGATCAGAACCACCCAAAACCTGCACCGGAGCAAGGACGCTACTAGGGGCTCCTGCACCTGTCAGGATCCTCTCACCATCCCCCACTCCTGCGCTTTTGGCTGAGTCGTGGTGACGAGCCTAGGCCGGATCCAAGGCAGCAAGGGAGGTCGAGCGGTGCGGTGGCTTTGCAGCATTAAGTCGAGTGAGGACCCAGGGCTGCGAGGCCGGTTGGACTCTGAGACGCGGCAGAGCTGGGCATAGCATGAATTGACCTTCATGATTCAGAATCGTTCTTTCAGTTCCTGAAAAATCATATGAGTTGGAACCAGAAAAGTCACCTCGCCAACCTTCCTCATGACCCGAAATCGAATGCGCAGTAGGCCCCTCAGCTGCTTTATTCACATCTGACTCATCTTCTGACATGGGTTAACCAGGCAGAATTATAGACGAGCCGCCCCTTGCTTGGGTGATTGCTTCTATATACACTCCATAATGACATCCATTGGGGAAAGGCAGAAACCCACAACTCGCTTGAACAGCTCGATCTGGCCAACTCCCGCCTGCAAGGAGACTGCCGCTTGATTCCAACAACCTGGTGACAGTCTCAGTGAGAAGAAATCAGTTTGGGGCCCCTCCGACCACCAGCATCGCCCCACACATCCCCGCGTCTCGTCCGAAGACTGGGTTTCTGAGGGTGCAAAACCAATGGCAACATCTTCCGAGCTGGACAAACCAGTGGTCGACCGTCTGGCCTCAAATCCGTATTGGGGATACACATGGTAAGCCCGGTGGGTGGGTGGAGACATGTGGAGACCCCAATCCACTACACTATGTCATTGGTCTCTATACCAAAAGGTCGGGAACTGGCCTCGGCTTACTGGAGTTTGTCCTATAAAACCACTATATATATATATAATCAATGGAGGTGTTCAGGACCAGGTGCTACTGGGTCTTTGAACCTGTAGGGTATACATTAAATGACATTAAATGATATGTTTGATATTAAATACACTCCCTGAAGCAATCTGGGAAGTGGACAATGTCCCCTGGATATACAGGGGATGCCGTTTCCATATATTTCTTGGAGGGAGGGTACAGAACATTACAAAACAATCTGGAGAATCCAAGGTGGGCTGGTGTAACGACCGAAAAAAAGATCCTCCCCAACCGGTTTGATTGGTAGGTGGACTGGCTCAGTCTTCCAAAGGTGTATCATGGTAAGTGGATCAAGGTGGGGTAGCCGTCAAATTCATACCGTTTCGATCAGTGCATGGATTGGATCATTGGGCTTTAGTACTTGATCCATACATCATGTTTGTGGCCGTCGCCACGTAGAATCAGATGTTTTTTTTGCTCTAAGAAAACTAAACAACATTATTTTATTGCTATTTTCCTTCTGAGGTCCGCCACCTAAGTCACGTCGTTTAGCTGCCGGATGTGGGAGGCAGAGTCGCAACATATGCAGATGTAAATGCTGGGGTTAAAAAAGACATGCATTCAATTTGAATGCCGCAAGAGGATTGTCCACAATCAAATGTACCACTTGGCCATGAACACATTTATGAAACTTCTGCCCGTGCCAGCTTCACATGTCTGAATCTTGAAACATCTTGAAACAAAGGTATGTGAAGTGTCCTCATGCAGGGTGGGGCCAGATCTGCACTCAAGCAACGGCTTCAGCACCCTCAAGCTCCCTTTGCGCCCATATGTTGCAAGGTTGACGGTGACTTCGGACCACCAACCACCATCCACCCACCCGAGGGTACAGCGCCGTTCGGTTCGAAGCCGTCGGTCCGCTCTGAAGCCCCCGAGGTACCTGGAAGCACTGGGCTGGTCACGGGACCAGCCCATGACTGGCCTGCACCAACTGCGGGATCACCTGGCAGCATCAATCCCGACGGCCTGGCAGCATCAAACGGTCTCGAACGGCCTGCGGCAGGGTTTTTGGTTCCGAACTTGCAGAGGTGATTTGAAGGCCTGATCGGTCGGTGGCAAAGGCAAAGGTCCTACAAACGAGTTGGTTCCCTGGCCAGGCAGTTTGTTGGGCAAAAAGCTGTGAATTCCAACATGTTTCAACAGACCACAGGAAGAGCAGCGAGCGGCGAATTGAATGCTTGTAGGCAGACCTGTGGCCCCAGCAAATCTGAGAAGACAGACAGACCTGTCACATCATGGGCCCCGAGAAATCCATGCACAGTGACCCCAAAGCGCCCCAAAACCGCTCCCAAGACACGGACCATGGATGGCCCCAGCGGTGTCGAGCCCAAAGCCTATTAAAACCCCATGAGCTCACTCCGAGTCACTAACATATGGAAGTGGAGTTCACCACCTATTTGGACGCTACTAGGAGCAAAGGGCATCGCCAGTAGGAGCAAGAAGCTACTAGGGGCTCCTGGCATCGCTACTAGGAACAAGGATGCGAGTTCACCACCGGTCTTCGGATGTTTTGGTCATCCGTTCGGGCGCCATCCACGGTCGAGCGTGCCCGTTCGGGTGCTTTGGACACTCGTTCGTCATCCACCCCCAGCACTTGCAAAATGGACCGTGAGCGGGATCCCTTGCGAACCATCGAGAAACCAAGATTCACCTTGGAGGGTGAGAACCTAATCGGATATGATGAACCAGCATTTATCGCTCCAACCGTTTTCATTTACTTACGGTATATGATTACTGTAATATTGATTCATATGATACCCTACAGGTCAGTTTGACCTCATTTTACTGCTCCATGAGGTTTGAGTGACCAGGATTGGACCTGGGTCAGACTGGACCTGTAGGCTCTAAATCCTTTGGTTCTATTGGCAAACCCAGAGCTTCCGTTTATTCATTTTTCCCCACCTGGAAGTCATAATCCACCACTACCAGTGCGCAGTAAAATCAGTCATGACTGGACTCTCAGTCTGAGGGTAATTCAGCTCAAACAAGACAATGACCCACCATTCATCGCGGTCTCGCTCGATTCTTTTCGCTCTGCGCCTGGCGATGGCGACGCCGCCGGCAACGCCTGGAATGGCCGTCCCGTTTGGGCTCCAGTCGGCGTGTCTGTGGTCCACCCTTTGCGTGGTGCTGTCAACACAAATTCCTACCGCAGGCCACTGTGACACCAACCACCGCGGGGGTTCACATGTCTCTTCAGAGAAAGCTTCCATTCAAACAACTGCCGGAATACCCAGTATTTGGGACTTTGAAACGGTTTGTAGCCCTTTTTCATCAGAAGGGGCAAGCTTTTGTTTTTAGCCCGCTCCCCACCTCCTTACTTAATTAAGTAGGTACTTACTTAATCAATAAGGGAGAGGTAGCTAGTACCTACAAGTAAGCTACTACATATGGACGCAGGATAGCTCACGCTTCTTCAAGGAAGCTCCCCCCGCCTGAGGGTGGGGGGAGCTTCCTTGAAGAAGCGCTCGCACTATTCATGTGCTTCCTAGATTTTCAGGGAAACTGAACTATATTAGACCTGTCTTCAGAGAGCAAAAAATACCCTCACTAGTTTCAGACATCTTCAGCTGGGTGTCCGCGGAGTCCTTCTGGCCAGTTGGACATAGCTTGGGTATCACTTGCACATCTTTATGTTGCTGCCAATCGGCTGCTGTAACCGGCTGCACCTTAGAACTTGGCTCCAAACCGCGGAATTCCCGGGTGCCAGTACCACTCAAACTTGCTCGGTTCCGTTCCAAACGAACATCCTTACTGGCTTCGTGCCTTTGGTTCGAGTCAAAGGCTTTGTGCACTGCCGTGGTGCCATGGTATCGAACCTCTGTAGCTCTCACCCCCACCCACCTGTCTGTGGCAACAAAATACGGCATTGTCAGCCGGTTGTGCTCCTCAGCAACAGAGCAGAATCACCCGCTGCACTCAAGAAAAGAGGCCTAGTCCCCATATTGCAGAATCCGGACCTATTCAATAAAGCTAAAATAGTGAAACAGTGAAACATACTATGGAAGAAATGCTGCCCTTTTCTACCTCGTAACTGCTGTGCTCAGGACATTTTCCTACGAAAGAACACAGCTGCTAAACCTGTGACGAAAGAGGTCTGCTGAATGTGACCTGCACTCCTGATTGGAAGGGTGTATTCAGATCAAAATCGCTAGGTGTTCTCAGAAGTTCGACATGAAACTTGTACACGGCAGCTTCAAAGTCTTGGCACGCTTCCTCAGTGAAGTTTGCAGTGCTATCTATCAAGGAAGGCCACCTCTGCACGGATCCTCATCTTTGGGGTGCTCCACTGGAGGCTACCTCTCAGTTCGATCCCTTCGGCATTTACTTGCTCTCTTTCCCCACAGGTCAGGTTGGGCCACAACTTAAAACTCCATGGAGTTGGTCAAACAGTTCAGGACCAGGATTAGACTTGGGTCAGACTGGACGCCGTACGCTTGAAATTGCCAAGCAACCCACTTGTCGTGGACCGTGCCCGGACCTCAGCCACCCAACGTGACGACAGGAGGGCGAGGTTTGTGGGTCTGAGTCGTCGAGTGGCGTTGAAATGGTCCGATCCCCCACACTACGTTGGATACCAGGCATCTCCTATCCCAGAATATTCATGTATGGACTAGTCACTAGTCACATACATTACCCCATTTATGACCCCAATACGTTAGTAGCTATTCCACACTAATTACGTCGTTTCACATGGTCCATTCGGTGACTCCGAGTCCAGGATACTGCGGATCCTTCGGATAGTCCAGGTACTTGGGTCCGGTGTCATTCGACCCATAGGAGGAGGATCGACCCATGTCGGATGCTTCAAATAGGTCATATTCTCCGCTTTTTCTAGGTCCTACCTCATCGTATTCCTGGACTCCAGTGGTGTGCAGCTGGAAACTATACCGGAAAAACCCAGCTTCCAATCTTTTACCCCCCAGAGGCTCATGAATCCTTAAACTGCTTACATGCTATACGTCCAAAACCTCTCGTTGTGAGGGTCAAAACTCTGCCCTAGCGAACTGCTTGGGTCCAATGCGCCTTTTGGACCCCAAGAATCAAGCGCCGGTGAACGGTTCGACTCTCAGGCTCGGAGGGTCCAATGATGGTTAAGCAAGATTCATGGTACTAGGATGTACTTGGTAGGTCCATGGGACCTCCAGTTCACAGACTAGAGAATGGGACCATGACCCTGATAAAACAGGCACTGCATGGTACTACCATACACAATTCTAGGAGTACGAATCGAAGGTGCAGGTTGGAAACACATCGGTTCATCTCGTTTGGGGTTCCAAGTGCGCAGATCAAATCCTGAGATAGAAACTCCCCTTGTTGGAAGAAACACATCTTTCGGAGTTATTTTGTTTCTTCATCTTTCTTCCCATAGCATCCAGCCACCCCGGCCAGCCAAACATCCCCTTTGTTTGCCGGAAAAGGAGAAAAACAACACCTCACCCCGAGGCAAACGTCCGTTGTCAGGTCCAGTGAGTCCAACAAAATTGCCTTGAGTGGACCAGCTGAGTTGACCATGGGGCTGGCATATTTGCAATCGGTTGGGGTGGTTTTGAGATGTTTTATGGGTCTATGCGGGTCAATATTGCAGTCCAATGGATTGTTGGGGAATGATTCTTAAAAATGATCGACCGCCAAGCGTGAAGAATGTGCTGCCCGTCCCGGCCTTCAGAAGAGTTCGAGATTCCCAAGCACCGAGCGTTGCCACTTGTGGACATTCGTTGGATGATTCGTCTTTGCAACAACAATTTCATTTTTACTCTTATATGGGTCATTACTCCAAAGAAGAAATCTCTCCTGCTCACGCGAACAAACGGAATGGTTTTTGGAAACTCCTCGGTGTCATGGTACATGATAAGACTCACAAGTCCCAATGGAACGGTGCACGGGTCGATGTCAGGTACCAATTGATACACTTGGGACATCCCCTCTTTTAAGCAACCAACCCCCAAACACTCCAAATATGTAATTACGGCATATTTACCTACATTGGGGTGGTTTCCGGTGCCAATGTAGGCATTTGTGTACCTGAAGTGTTTGGGACCAAAAGTAAAAGACCATCTATGGTCCCACGACTGTCGAGGTCCTCCAAGTCACATAGCGTCCAGCCGACCAGTGATAAGCTGGCGCATGTACGGGTCCACCATGGCCGCTTGTTGAAGCATTGTGGGATCCTGGCGAGACTGAAGGACTGAGCCTCGCAAGCTGAAGTACTTCGTAGTAGTAGTCGTAGTGGTAGTGGTATCGTGGTAGTAGTAGTCGTAGTAGTTGTAGTCTAGTATAGTATAGTCGTCGTCGACGTTGTCGTAGTTATAATATGTAGTAACCGCGTAGTAGTCGCAATAGCCGGAGTAGTAGTGTAGCAGCAGCAGCAGCAGCAGCAGCAGCAAGAGCAAGAGCAAGAGCAGGAGCAGCAGCAGCAGCAGCAGCAGTAGTAGTAGTAGGAGTAGGAGTAGGAGCAGCAGCAGCAGCAGCGGCAGTAGTAGAAGTGAACATTTTTGAGGTTCTGTGGGTTGAACTACACACCAAAACAAAAACTGTGAGCTTTCGCGGCAATAGCTTATGTTGCTTGAAGTTGCTTGTGCAAATTGCTTTCGCACTTTGAAGTTAGAGCATATAGTCCGGTGGTTGCACGAGGTGTATCGCAAGCTTTCGCAGCACCCTATGCTCTGTACATATATTCTTACACGCCACATTGATGAATTTCGGCTTTGCATCGAGAAATTAAAGAACTTGACTTATATACATAGAACATTATAGAACTTAATTTGCAAAACAAATCCCAATGCTCAAGTAGTCGTAGTCGTGGTGGTGGTTGCAAGCGGCAGTGGCAATGCTTGTGCTACTAGCAGCAGCAGGGGGAGGAGGAAATGCATGGAAATGCTAGAGCTAGTACTAGTACAAACACGAGTGGGAGCAGTAGTACTAGGAGGAGTAGTGGGAGCAGCAGCAGTAGCAGCAGTCGTTGCACCAGCGGGCTCAAACGTAATTAGTAGGAGCAGGATCAAGAAGAGGCGTATAGGAGCATATAGTAGTAGAAGGTTGGCAGAGGTGGTGAGCTCACGCTCCTACCTGGAACTAAACCATTTGATGGTCACACATCCGCCCCGCCGAGTTTCAAGCAAACTTTCACTTCTGCAGGGCGATCAGTTCTTGCAGCAACTCTTGTGGATTCAGTGGCCCAAGGCTTTGCCTCCACTGCCACTGTTCACGTCTCCTTCGAAATAAGCTCGTCTCCTTAACCTATGGTGCAACAATGTTCGACATAAAACTTGGACCGATACAAAACTGCGACATTCGAGGCCCCCTGCCAAACGACGCGGATCGAAAACAAACGCTACTCTTCCTCCACCCACCCACCCCCACCCACCCCGCAGGGGTCGGGGCTGGTGGGGACTGAAACCACCCGAAACCACACGGCGCGATATCAGCCGTGGGCCAACTACACAGCGCTTACAACCCAGTAGGAGGATTGCCCAAACCCACTGCAGAAATGAAATTATCCTCGTGCCCAAAAGTATGTCTCGGGGTATCTTGACATGCTGAGTTTTGCCGGTCCTAACAGTGAAATGCCCATGAACATCTGCGAAGAGAACTATCTGAAACATCCCCTGTCAGCTGCAGACATAAGTTTGATAATCTGTGTCTAAATTTCACACGGTCTCATTCCATTCATCTTGAACTGTTGAGCACCGAGTGTTGGCATCGCTGTAGATCAGCAAAAACACACATAAGTTTAAAAAGTATAATAACTCTCCCTGTCCCTGAATTCAGCGTGATTCACCTTCATGGGTTACTAAGGAGCTCTTCCAGCTGGACCATTGGAGCCATTTCCCCTGGACTCCAACCCGGCTTTGGGGAGCAACAACCAAAAGGGCCATCTTTAGACCGGATGAGCCACCGATCTCCGACGTCTTAAAATGAATGAGTCGGAACGTCCTTTTCGCACCCCACCCGTAGAATTCGGAAAAACATGGGCGTTCCGAGCTTCCAAGAACTTGTGGAGCCACCGAAAAAAAGGAGAATTCAGAGGAAAGGAGCCACCCGCGCCCCCAAAATGAAGCTCACGAAGCCGCCGTATGTTGTGCCGATTCTCTTCTTCCTATCCTCCTCTCCGGACTCTTGAGCCGATTCCCTCGCCCCTGATCCATCCAGCCTCAGCCAGCCCATTCCTCAGACCGGGGGAAGGGGTGCCCAGTGGAACTGCGCAGACCAACCGGAGCAGGCTCGAGATGTTCTCCCAACCAGCGAGGTTGGGAAGACTGGGGGGAAGAAGCGGGAAAAGGAATGATCATTGCTTGGGTTGCAGGAAAGAGTAAGTTGGAGTGATTTGTAGGAGGTTTCTTCTGCAAGATCCAGAATTGGCCTGAGATCCCAAGATCAGTGCAGACGCAACTCGCAGCGGTTTTGGCTGTTCATTCCAATGAGAACTAAGTAACTAGCTCCGAACTCTTGGTGGTCATAAGATTCCGAAAGATTGGAAAGCAAGATGAACACACTGTATGTGCTCCTCACCCTTGCCAAAAGCATATGCTGGGATCCGGATCCATCCCAATTATTTTTGGTGAACACATCTCCTGCAGATCCTCTACCACCACCTGATACCGATGCCGAAAAAACCACCAAAAGCGGCATCGGCAGCTTCCACTTCGACCTGAGGGCGCGGCTCAAAAAGCTGAGCGACCAGCAGCTTGTAACCTCGATGACTCGATGACTCGGAAAACTCGGTGCGTCGTTCGCCACCTGGGAGGTCCTGGGGCTCTCCAGGAAGCTGGGACAAAGAACACATGATTCTCCAGAAGGGAATTCACCCAGTTCGGGAACATGAATCCATGTCCCTAAGCAAAACCGTCGGACATGGATTCCTTCTCTTCCACTCCCAAAGGCAGAGCGCAAGCTCTTGGAAGTCTTTGGGACCGTTCCTTAGATGGATAGGGCCCTTTGTTCCTTTAGCGTCGAGTCGCGGGAAGTTCACTGAAGCACCGGAGACCAACGGTCATCGCTGCCCCACGGTCATCACTAGCAGCCACTAGGACCATTCACCGAAACCACCGAGTTCTTGTCATCTGGATTCCCGAGGTCGTCATGTGTTATCCACTGGACCCCATCGGACATCAACTCATCCCCTGGGTGCCATCCAGCTTCATATGGAACGAGGCTGTGATGTTAAGGGCTCAATTCGTGGAGTGAATCATCAACCAAAGTGCGAATTCTACCAGGTAGAGTGAGAGTCAACGCTCAAGCCCTGAAAACACACTGGCACCTGGAGGCAATTGCAAAGGACCAAGGTGTTTGGCGAGGGACCATGTTCTCTTTTTGGCCTACTTTATATACATAGACTCGACTGTAACATGATGTAACATGGTTCTTCAAGTTTTTTTAGATGCCACCAACTGCCCCAAATATATGACAAGGAGCCGTCACGTTGTTCTTTACGTGGGCGAGGTCTGCTGGTGGTGTGCTGCAAGTGGCAATACTCGCAACTGGCGGTCCGGCATCCAAGCTTGCTGGCAAAAAATACGCCTTGCTTGCGAGGCGAAAGGCACAGGTGCACAGTAGCGATGTCCTCCAACCTAATAGCAATCATTAGACCTTTCTTCATTTTCTTATTTTATTGTTTCTACTAGCCATGGTCTCCAACCTACTAGCGATGGCCTCCCTAGGGGTGACTGGTTGGATCTGTTTGGACTGGGAAAGTACTCATCTAATCTATCACCTTTCGAGTTTCGACGGAAAAATGGGATTGCGTAGCTGCCATGCTCTGGGTGAGCTTGATGTGAGGCCAGGATTCAGCTAGAGCCGTTTTTGGGCGCTATGTGCATCATGTGCGTGTACACAACTACTTTTTGATCATAGAAGCAGGACAGCCATGAAAAACAGGCCGACCAGCGAAGAGCAGAATGGCAAAGAGGAAAGGCAGCCTCTCGGTCGATGTACTGTCCCCTGGGCCCTGGTTGTAGCTAATTGTGTTCTCCCACTTGGAGTCTTCCCAGTGCGTCCGTGTGGTTTGTGCACTAACCAAGAGACAATAAGAGAAAAGTATGGATGCACTCGCTTGAACTTGATTTGTCTGCTCTATTTGCAGGATTTTGCACGTAACCTGAGCACAAATTGACGGTTTTGGTGGATGTTGAAGACGGGACCAGTTATATGCGATGTCGCGTCAATGCCCCTCTCGTGAGGCTTCTTGTAGTTCTCTTACAATATGTGGCACATCTTTTTCACCATTTAGTGTTTGAAAGCTAAAGTGAGCTGCCAAGCAGTTCAGGCCCCAGATGGCCTCGGGACCTCTCAAGCACAAAGGCTCTTGGATTTTTCCGTGGCAGTGCAAATGAGTACCAACATACTGTTACTCCTTCAACTGCAGGGTTCGATTGATTGTGAAGGGTTGGGCACTTTTCCGGGACCATTCAGGATCTTTTAGGTGGTACCTTTGGCGCCCATTCTTGGGAACTTGATCCGAGTTCGACAATTCCTTCTTCACCACCCACCTGCCTCCTCCCAGCCGTCTAGATTGGCTCAAGACCCGCGTTTCTCAGTGGCCCCAAGTAAATAGAAATGGTTTGCAAAACAGTTTTGGAGGCGATTTGTGTTTTTCTATCTATTTTGCAAAGAAACTGACCTTCCCAAAGACCTCTGGATGTACCGTGGTCGTTACAGTTGCTCCTCACCTGAGCAAATTTCTCACTTAGTATCACTCGGTATCACACGATCACATGCTCTCGGCAGACTGGATCAACAAGGCATCTAAGGTGGAATGAGAAACATTCAAAGCACCCAAACGAGAGCTGCCACCACCCGGAATTCCAGTGTGCCTGCGCATTCACATTCGGCGCATTCACATTCCGAATCTACTAGCTTCTTGTTACTACTAGCTTCTTGTTACTACTAGTAAGGCACCTGTTACTACTAGCGTGGCACTTGTTACTACTAGCGTGGCATTGGTTTATATCACAGTAGATCCGTCAAAACATCGTCGCCCAAACTATTTTTCCTATGACTGCTTCGCCCAGGCACATGGATTGCATGTCCCATTGCGATGTTTTGCATAGGCAACCTGAGCAATTGAAACATGGAAATTCCACAGGAAATTCCCAGCAAAAACAGGTGCGACATCAATGAGAGATATTGGCATTCCCACTCTAGTAGGCAACGAGTGGTTCCAAGGATTAGAATCGTAGACCCACCAAAACCCTGGTTACTTGTATAGTGGCTGCAAGATCTGCAAGAGATCCGCTGTTTGGACGAACACCGGAGGTGGACACCCTTCAGGAAGCTTGGGAAGGGCCGGGAGTGGGTGAGTTGGTTGCTGGGAGTCCAAGACAATAAAAGGATTTGTTTTTACTGGAGGCCCTCGCTAGTAGGAGCAAGGACGCTATTTGAAGCCCCTGGCCTTACTACTAGGAACAAAAGCTATTAGGGGCTCCTGGCATCGCTACCAGGAGCAAGGCCTCCAGTAGGTGTTTTCGATGGAGCGAGGCCCCTAGTAGCGTCCTTGCTCCTAGTAGTAAGGCCAGAGGCGTCTGGGCCCAAGCCTTCACGCGGCGCGCCTGTTACTTCCACTCTCGAGTGGGGGTACGAATTGGGCCATGAGAGCCCTTTTCGGGGTCTGCCATGGCATCGTTCGCCACTCGTTTCGTGCAGATACTCATTGGCGAGGTGGTTTCAAAGAAGAAATTCTGCCACGACGTGTCATCCATCGACATCGAGATTTTGCAGTGATCGAATGTGTGAAGACAGATGGAACGCATTGCACTTTGAAAGTGACTAACTCCATTCTGGCATGCATGAGCACTTCCGAGTCTTCGCAGATGTTTACCTGGAAAATTGGAGGATGTCTTCAGATGGGTGTTGTTAGGTCAGTCAACAACCAGAATTTGCCGGATCCATTTTTGATGAATGACCAGCCAAACATTCTTCCCGGCTGTACAGATCCATCCTATCGGCCTCTTCTAGAGACCTTCGAGCCTTGGGCACAAGACTATGCCCGTTCAGAGTTGGTGACAGGATTTGGTCTCATCCAAGAAGACACGGCATTGTGGGAACCTTGGTGCTGGCGCTTTGCCAACCCATCATCGACTGATACACAGACAACCAGTGAGTACCAGAAACAGTCTGGCGACGCTGACATAAGGTCAACAGCTTCAGGGAAAGCCACGGCATTTGCACCAAGTGGCCAGCCTTTGGGGAACCTGACTTCACCTCCAACATGCCATGTTGACCTTGACGCGACATTTACGTCACATTGTGATGTAGAAGGAGTTCAGATTGCCACACAGGATGACCCTCTTCTGATGTTAGAACCGTGGGCCTATGCATATGTGCACCACGACATGACTGGTAGCTCTCCCATGAATGTTCACGAAGACCAGTACTGTGAACCATGGGGTGCGCATTTCATATCCTCAGAGATGCGTACCAAAAGGACGGATCCGCCTCAATCACCGTCAGGTTGTCACTTGATGAAACCAGAGGGTCAACCTACCCTTTTGCCTCGTGTTTCAACATGGTTCAAGGCCGTTGTCACTTCTTTGCCAACGGGGTCGTGTTCAGATGGATTCAGGTTCAGTTGCACTCAGTCCACCGTAAACACGAAGTCCTGTTGGAACGATGTGTTAGGCCTACGCCCGTCTTGTCGCGCCAGATTTGAGTCTTTCTTTCGCCATTTGGGGGTTGAACGAGGGGAGCAACATGAGAACACCCAAATGAATGAGCCAGTTACTGCAATTTTGTTTGAGACTCCATTCCATCCACCGCCGGACTTGCCATCATCGAATATACGAGTCTCTCCAATTCAAGGGGACCTTTTTGGCCCACCAAAGCATGTCGATCATCATGATGTAATTCATCAGGCCAATCGTATTGATATTCCTACTACGTCTACTTTTACATCCACTCCTCATTGCTGGACAGCATTTCAAGCAAGTTGTGCAGTTCGTTTGACAACTGTACGAGATGTCCTCATTCCTCCTTGTTTGCCACTGTTCCAGCCAAAGTGTCCATCTTGTGTTAATCAACACGAGATTGCTTCGTCACATGTTACTACCAATCTTGGAGCATCGAATACTTTTGGGGTCCAATCAATAGAGAATCCCAGACCCACCCCGGCAGATCTCTTGGATCAATCAAGACCCACAACAGTGATTTGGCACACAGGCTTCTGTCACAAGAATGATCACGATCGACTCGCTCCTGGACCACCACATCCAACCATCAATAGCGGGGCTGTACCCGATTTTACAACCTCAGGCGACCAGGAGACAGTAGATTTTGACAGTGTGCCTTCGATACCACACGATTATATCGAGTGGTCTCGCCATTTTTCAACAGTCAGTGCTCCAAGACCTCTCGTGGTTCTTTCTCATGGCCGTATGGACTTCTCATCTCTCTTGAATGAGCAATGGGAACCAGACCAAATTTTCGAGTCCCTCATGGAACCCCACGGGGGTGGGCATCAACAACATCACGCTCTTCAACATTGGAAAAGCGATGTTCAGCGTGTGATGCAAACTTTGCCTATGGTGACCAACAGTTCCCATCAACTTCTTACACGACAACAAGATGGCCCATTGATATCTCCTCGAAGCATTTCGAACTCGTCCTTTGACAACTTCCACCTTGGGGGCCTGACATCCTTCAGACCAGCCATACCAGTGGGTAGCGAACTCCGCGCCAGTCATATTGCTGAAGCAGTCTGGGTCCACAAAGACCTTGCATGCAATGCCACATGCTTGGAGCAGTTTCCTCTCCCGCTTTTTGACTGGGCTCAAAAGAGCCAACGGTTCTCCTACAATAAAGCACATCTCAGAGGCATTTCACTACGCTCCGAGGAGAACTACACACAGATGTCTCAGCAAAGATCAATCCTTGTGGACACAGCTCTATCCAGTCTGAAGCCAGATCTTCTACTTCCACAGCATCTTACTACATACAGTGGGGCTGTACCCAGTATCAACCATTATGCAGATTTTCGACCTCCTCACGGGGATTTAGTCTTTTCAGACGGAGTGCTTGATTTAAGCCATTTTGCTTCAACAGCACTTCAGGATCTCATCAGAGTATTAACGCCACTACGTTCTGCTCTTTTGGAGCCATATGACTCGCAACTAGCTCGATCTACATTAGAGTCATTACCACAGCAAGGTGTACGGCAGAAAGCTGATGAATGTGTTTTGGCCAGCCAGTTCTTCAGCGAAGAGGATCATCGACCACAACATTTTACCACATGGAGTGGGGCTGTACCCAGTTACAACAGCAGCATTTCAGACAGCCACAACATTCGATATATGATCAACCCACGAGTCCTCAAAAAAGCCAACTCATCCCCAGGGACGACAGGGAATACTTTTCAGGAACTGCACATGCCGGTTCCCTTCCGAAGTCCACTAGGCTTTCTTCGGGCAGATGCATGTCACATGGATCTTTTTTCGGATCAGTCTCTTGGTTGTGCACAAAACCTGGGTTGTATGCCTCCTGTTCAAATTCACCCGGAATGGCTGAATCAGAACAACCAATCAGGTATACGAGATGCTTTCATTCCTCCCCAGCCGCTTCGTCACACCAAAACCGGACATCAGACAAATACTCGCCCTTCATTCGGTTTCACAGAATCTCTCGTCAATAAGGGGATGATTGGCCGAATCAGGAACCCAATGTACAGGGACTCAGTACCTTATGATTGTCGACAGAATCAATCTGTTATCGCAACCTCATCGGGTAGCCACTGGTCATCAAGTGACAATCATAATGATCAACTTGATATTGAGATTACTTCCAACGATTCCTATCCAGAAACCACATTTTTGCCAACCATCATCAATTCTGCCATTTCTTGGCCAAGCAATTCGACCTTCTCGCAGACCGACGATGAATTGCAAGTGACTGATGATCGTCATCAGACAATGTCCAGGTCAGCAAAGCTACGAAGCTTTACGACGTTCGAGCCACCAGATCCAAAGCCATCTCCCATATCCAGTGGGGCTGTACCCGTCGACAACCTCAATTTTCGACAGCACTTTGACGACTTTGATATTCGCTCTTACAGTTTACATCCACCAATTGTTCCTGTGGAGATGCTATCGGGTTACAATGCCAACTTGTGTGAACAGTTACACTTCGATTCTCAGCTATTTCCTCACCACCATCAGGCCTTGCACTTGATTTTCGACTTGTGCCATACCAATGCTCAGTTTCGATATGTTCCAGCAACAATAGCAGAGGTAAGGACATCCAACAATTTTTTGCCGACGACATCACCTGTGCTACAGCATTTCACAATATCTAGTGGGGCTGTACCCGCCAACGAGCTCAATTCCATGTCCATACAGACCGATCTTTTGCCTTCACTCACAGGATCCGCGTCGTTTGTTCATCAGCACTGGTCGGACAAGTATCCAAGTGACGAGACCCAGGTTTCAGTACATCTATCCGATCTGTCTACACCGCACCTACAACATCGTCCACTATGTGGCGGGGCTCTATCCAGACACATCTTTCAGGAGCTCTATATGGACCATCATTTTGATGACCAGATGTACTGCATCTTTGATTGCAAGCATAAAGATGTTTCATTCCCGTATCCACAACAACTCCCTACAAAGTTTTGGCCTGCTGACAAGTGTCGCACTCAAGCTCATCTCTGGGCACCTCCTTTCTCATCATCCATCCGAACGAGTGCAGTCCGTCAGTACGGTCAGGAGGAGGCTCGTGCAACAGCTCTAGCTCCACAACAGATCACAATATCTAGTGGGGCTGTACCCAGTGACAACAATTTGATGCGCACTCTTGGTCCTCCAGGCGGCCTCTTCACAGAGAGAATTTTCCCAACAGTACCAAACTATGTCAGCAAGTTTGAGGAGAAAGTTTATGTTAGTTTACCCTCAAGGGGTAGTACTTACCAACTTACACTGCCAAAACATCGGAACAACGTTGTCGCAGCTCCAAGAACAGTTTTGCTGAACTCCGATCCTCGCTTTTCAGACTGTTTACATCCGGAACCTTCGTGGACACACAATGCCTCAAGTGTCTTCTGGCCAGCAGGTGGCTTTTGGGACGAGG